GAGGCAGGCTTCGGACAGGCCACAGAGAGGCCGCAACAGGCCTGCCAGCTGCCGAGGAGCGTTTGAAGGCGGTCCAAAATGCCTAACGTCGCCTTCGGAAGCCCATAAGAAGAGAGGAGGCAGGCTTCGGACGGGCCACAGAGAGGCCGCAACAGGCCTGCCAGCTGCCGAGAGAGGAGGCAGGCCTTGGACAGGCCACAGAGAGGCCGCAGCAGGCCTGCCAGCTGGCGAGGCCTCGGACAGGCCTTTGGAAGTGCTTGGAAGGGTTCTGCTAGGCTTGGCCAACTGCTTCACCCTGCGGTGTCCCAGGCGCCTCCCCGCCTAGGCTTTGGCTATAGGCCGGGGTCGGCGGATATAGATTCTTAGATGGTCCCTTTAGCGATGCACATCGTTCCTTTGGGGAAGATCAGGCCCTCGTGTGGCTTTTTACGAAGCAGGAAGCAGCAGGAAGCAAGGGAACTCAGAAATTTGAGGCGCTCCCACCTAGATACCGCTGATGACAAGAGTTTGGGGCCCTGAAATCCGTTCTTTTCTGAAATGCTGTCAATTTATTATCGGGGCGTTCAAGGATGTTTCCATTAAGAATCATCCAATCAGATCCCAAGAAAGATCAAGACAGGATTTCCTTACAACTGAGTTTGTCTTTTTGGAGCCCTTAGCGACTGAGCCGGCACGAGACTATACGAGACTCTTGCGGGACGCCGAAGGCATCGCTTGGATGTGCCCAGCAGTGGCCTGGTAGTGCTGGCCAAGAGCTATGTGGCCTTCTATGAGCTCCAGGCCGGGGCAATCTGGGCCATGCAAGAAAGCTCACTTGAGTAGTAGATAGTAGTAGACCCTTCCTTGGATATAGAATATGTTAGATGACGTAGACCGTAGACATCCGTAGGCCCCTTTTTTCAAGGGGGAGGTGGTGGTTTCACCAGAATGGCTGGTTTTGATGGAATGCCTTGGCATGCGTCAAATTCACCTTCTCAGAGCGGGTTCCCCTGGGTTCGGCTTCCGCGCCTCAGGTGGACTTGCACGCGGGCCGTGTGGTTCGTGAGTATCAAGTACTTTGCCATGGCTGGCTGACCAAGAGCCAGGCGAGGCAAGCGATGTGCGGTTCCGAACGGGGAGCTCCTTGGGGAGCCCATGAGGACCAACCCTCGCGGGGCGTTGGTCGTCTTGTCTTGCCGCTGAAGCCGATGCCAATGCACAAATTATAGAACGAAATATCCTAGAGCCTATAGATCACGGATTCTTCCGTGCACGTTACTCCATGACTGGCTCCGCCCCTAGTTTCTGCCAAGTGTGATGCTCCAAATCATACTTTCCATGGAGCCCCAAAAACGATGGAGCCCAAAACCATGGAGCCCCCAGTTGTTCATGTTCCTTCTAGATTCTAGATCTTCTAGTCTGTTCATTTGGGGTGGTCAACCCAAATCCCCGGCATATCGCTCAGATCTCCAACACGCCAGATCTCCGCACGCCTCTTCTGGTACGGCCCCTCTCCGAGCCTCGCGTCCGCCCGTGGGCGTGGGGCACGGACACTGGTGCTGCAGACGCGGCACCTGCAACACCCACGGTTGAACAGCTGCCTGGAGAGATGAGTTGCTCGCGAACTTTTTGCTTGTATGGGAGTTTAGTTATAGAATGTTATAGATATGATATACTAGTTAGATCATTTTTGTGAATGACCTTAGAATGACTAGACTGGAGCAAGTCACTAGTTACTATAGTCTAGGTCTTCAGTTCCTTTGTCTCTTGTAGCTCTGTCATGTTTGACATGCTAAATATGAAGAAAGCGTCCTGGCAGACATCAGAGATGAGCGATTGGCACGCTCGTGCCTCCGTGCGGCCTCTGGAGCTCGCTTCGCCGCAACTCTCACAGTCCATTCGCCTAAGGCTAGATGTTATTGTTTGGCCAATCACGGGTGGCACCTGGTACAGGGATGCTTTAACCGTTGGTGTTCAAAAAACTATAGCGGTGGCCGTGGCTTGCACATTCACATGGCACGTCTGCCAGCCGCTCTTACCGAGGCTTGAGCTATGCTGAGCTTCGACGCGTCGTCTGCACAAAGACTTTTGCGGGTTCTGTGTCTAGCAGAAACGAGTTCTACAAGAGAGAGCTACAAGAGCTACGGCCTCGCATAGCTATGCTCTACGAGTTCTCCTTGTATATTTCTTTGTTGTGTGACCGGAGAGAGTTCTTTTCACGTGGTTCGGGGGTACGGCGATTGCTGCCTGCCTTGGTTTGGTTGCGATCGTGGAGGAAGGGACACAAATTCCACGGTCCCAAAGGTAGTTTTCTATAGTTTTCTCACGACATTCTTGAGCATTGAAATAGTCAAGCCTTCACTATTACTGTATTAGATACAGTGCTGAAATGACAAAGGAGTTGTGAAAAGTACCTCAAAATTCATGCGGCTAAGTCATGAGGTTTCAGCCCTAGGGTCCCGGAGTTGTATGTCATGAAGCAAGACCTTAAAACAACATCAACATCAGAGATGTCAGAGGTTGTCACCAACTTGTGAATGAGTTTGGAGATCCTCCAAGCACCACCTGAGGGAAGATCCCGAGCCCGCTCGAAAGTTAAAAGATTTGCAATGTCAATGACGCGTCATGACGTGCTGCTTGCATTTTAAATTTTCAGTTTTCAAGCTTCTGTTGCTTCCAGTCAGACATCCTAACCCTGGCCAGATACCCTATGCTATGTTTTTGTTTAATGAAAATCTTTTGGATCTTCCACCAGGGTTCCCATGGCAACGTCGAGATGCGGAGTGCCCAACGTCCATAAGGACTGGGAACGGGTCGAAAGCACCAGATCCGTCTCTTGGAACGTTTCTGTGGGACGAAAGACAGGACACCGGTCGAAAGGCCACGCCTCCTGGACGGGAGCATCATCCACTAATTGGCCCGGGGATGGGTCAAACGGAGAAGGAAGAGGAAATCCTGTGCCTGACATTGCCCAGCTAAGTGGAAGGGCAGAGCCACGGGGCTTGGATTCCTGGAGCGGTACGTGTGGTGCCCAGGGGGCGCCCACGAATGCAACCGGTGAACCTGTGGTGCTGAAGAGGTGTCCCGCCTCATGACTTGTCGTGCTTTCGATTGGCAGTTCCTTCCGCACAAACCATTGAAACATATTGAAACTTTGTCCGCATGGCGCATGATATAGATAGATAGGACTTTATCCACATGGCGCTTGATATAGATAGATATAGGATAGGGTAGGATAGGATAGATAGAAGATCTAGGATAGATAGGATAAATTAGATAGATTACTGCAGATAGATAGGTTAGATTAGATATCGATATATAGATAGATCTAGATAGATAGATAGGGTCCTCCAAGTCGGTCGACGTCGATCGCCGATCGCCCTGGATAATATTTCAGCTCTTTTTGCATATCACTTCTGGACTAAACAACTAAGTAGTTATTGGAACCTGAGTATGCCCTCCTACAGCCAGGGCTCCTAGTGAAAAATTGAAGCTCAGCTCAGTTGTTCTTGCTTTGTGCGAAGGTTGAACGGACAATTGCTCCAACTGATTCCATACCTGGCCCGATCCCGCCTGCTGTTTTCTTTTTTCAAACGTGTTTCATGTATAGCTGCACCGCCCAGGTAGCCACTTGGCGCACGCCTCTCGGCATGGGAGATAGATGTTTTGTTTTTGGATATATAGTAGACAGCTAGCAGATAGAAAAACTTGCAGATAGAATACGCTCAAGACTCAAGACAGTGATTAAAACAAACAAACACGTACTGAAAAATCCCTAACTGATTGTTACTGTATATTCCCACTCAGAACCATTCCCACAAACTGCATGATTCACCTACCAGGGGCCACCAAAAACACCGACCTGCATGAGGTGCTGAAACGCCGTTGCCTCCGAAAAGGGGCTCGGTGAAAAGGCACTGGGTCGGACTGCTTCTGAAACCACCAGATTCTCGTTCAATATGTCACAAACATGGACCACCCAGCTCTTTTTGGCAGAGATTCCAAGATGCGATGAGATGAGTCAGGCCTCTTTCACGGCGTCATGCTTGTCTTCTCTCCGTTCACCATGAGGTCGGACACCCCGTGGTGAGTGACATGGTCTACCAGAGCATGGAGACTTACCAACAAGACATCGCAGAGCATGCGAACAATTGCCTGCATCGGCACAGGCGCGACCGATCGGAGCGGTTCACCCCGGGGCGTTTCGGTTCATGTGAGGTCGGCTGGGGAAAAATCGAAAGGTCGGCTGTGAGCAGTGAACTTGGTCTGGCAATTGAACAGGAGCACACTTCCCGGTTGCCCCCACATGCAGCAAGTAGATTGACAAATTCATCATGATACATCTTCGAAGGCTTAATGAGCTTCTCCCTGTCAAAGATGACTCTCACGGAGTCAGTTCAGGACTTGAAGTCAAGAGTTCAGCTATGTTCAGCGAACTTCAGAGACTGAGCCATTTGATGTTCAGCTACGGCCGATTCGCTCCGACGGGGCTCAACTGGGCGAAGTCGAGGCTGTTGGGCGACTGGTCGGGAGCTGGGCGGGGTGGACGGATGAACTGGACCTCAAAGCACCTTGCCATAGGAACCTTCCATGGACATCGGTCATCACCAATGATATATGAGTCTGTACATCAATTGTATATAATGTATATATATATATGTGTGTGTGTGAGTTGGTATGAACCCATACATTGTATATATATGGTTTAATATAACGATTGCAAGCATTTTGAAGAGTTTGGAACTGGACACGCAAGATGTTGAGCTACATCTTGTGAGAACAAATACAGAAGACATTGTAGTTCAACATGCATGCATGCAGGGCATACTAATTTTGTTCCATTCCCAGACACTCCTTGGCATATACATTGATTGACACCAGGTCAACCACCCCAACTGATTGGGAGTCATATGCCAGTCGTCCGGACGTCGTGTTGGAAAAGGTCCATGTTGAACGACAGCCACCGAAGGCTCTTTGTGAGTGGCCGCTGCGTGAGCTGCGCAGGGCCGAAAGCACTGGAGGATCTGCTGGCGGCACGGGAGATCCGCTGGGAGCCGAAAGAGAGGGGAGTGAGTAGATGGCCGACGGCATGATTTGCATGGCTCCATAGAGCCGAAAAGAGTAACACATGACGTGACCAGATGCTAGTCCAGATGGTGATTTCCCGTGTGTCAAGATATGTTGGTAGGGGATTTGGATCTACTTTTGTGTCTTTTTCCTGGTGTGATTTGATCTTATTCAGATTCAGATCCGGTCCGGAGTGGGTCTAGGGATGTGACTATTCTAGCGATGTGGACAGGCGGTGCTTTGTCCCTCTTCACTTGGCAACTTGGGTACGAAAAACGGTTCCTTTGGGTGGAAACAAGCATGTTGGGCCAGATCACCAGGTGTTGGTGTTGTTCTGGATATCCCTGGATTTGGGTCCAAGGACTTCTGATTTGCATGTTCTCTCGAGAGAGAGACTGTTTCCATTGAGGCGTTAGTCACCTCTCACCATGTCACCACGCACGCTGCCGAAAGACGCAGATCAAGCTTAAGATCATCGTAACATCATCGCACCTTGACTCCTGTTTCAAAGCTATTGAAAGGTCACAGGTCATGAGACTCATTAAACATAGAAAATAGATGAACATGCAGACGTCATAGTCATGAGATAGCCAGACATCGACGTTTCGACGGCATTTCTCCGTTGATCCGGTCCACAGCCGCATCGTCAAGCCTCGTGGTCGCTCTTGGGGACCGGTCACGGATCGCCGGCCTCGGGTTCGCCGTGACCGGCAGGGGCCTGAGACAAAGACCACGGGGCAAGGGGGTGACCGGAGGCGTTCTGCACCAGGCCTGCACCATTCGCTCAGTCACTGAGGATGTCAGTGCCCAGGTCCCTAGCTCGCTCCGGACTGGAGGACATGGTCAGACTAGAGGAGCGGCTTACCAGAGGTCACCGGAGCGGTTTCTGTGCCTTTGCTGCGTTTCTTCTTTTTGTTGGGACGTGACGTGTGCAAGCGGCTACGGTAGTCATTTGGTCTCAAAGTCTAAGGCCTGCAACATTACTTCCAATGGAGCACTTAGTTCATCTTGAGTTCCACACCATCAATCTACGTACAAGATAGACACCCTGGAACCTCACCACCCCTTCAGAGGAATCTGATTTGCTTAACCTGTGAGTTTCCTGCTGTTTGATGGGGGCCGTCAAAAAGAGCTCTAAAAAAGATGGAACACTTTTTTTAAGGGCAACGGTTTCACAGAGTTTCAGCCCACTCCCTGATGTCGGCCACCGTTGGAGACCTTGATGGCCGTCAGTCTGACGAGCCCAATCATCACCCCCCGTGGCATTGGCGGCTTCATGAGCCACTTCTGGGAAAGACAAGGAAGGAACTCGTGACTGCTCGGAGGAAAAACGTCAGCCATCAGCAAGACGTGGAGCGCCTGGAACTGTGCCTGGCTGAGCTTCGAGAACAGCTCGAGAAGGAACAAGAGGCACATAAATTGACAAAGGTCGAGCTTGATCTCATCACCAGCCGGGCCTTTCCTAGGATTACAGAGTTGCAAGACAAGCTCACCGCAGCAGAGCAGGCAGCTGCCGATGCACAGTTGGCTGCTGCAAGTGCAGAGCGAGAAGTTCAACGACTCAAAGAAGACGGTGGTTGCCGTGATAGTGGTAGCGGTGCTAGTGGTAGCCATAGCCGTGACAATGGTAGCCGTCACCCTCCTTCGCAAGATGCTGATGGAGCAACTGCGCAAGATGGAAATCAAAGGGTCTCAGAGCTGACTCGCACGCTGACGGCGGAGCGCCTTGCTAGAGCAGCACAGTTAGCCGCATCCAGTGCCAAGCAAGAAAACCAGCACCTCAAAGAAGAGCTTGCTACCCGTGCAGAGCTTGAACAGGCCTTGCACTTGGCAGAAGCAGAGTTGGCCAAAGAACTGCAACAGGCACGGGAGGACAATGCCAGCTTGCAACAGCATGCGCTGCGCCTCGAGATGGACATGATGGAGTCACGAGTGCTTCACGAAAAGGCCATTGAGTCGGCGCTCCAACAAGCAAGTGTCCAGGCTGAGTTGCGAGCAGAAGTGGCCTTCAAGGCCATGCTCACTGAAGCGGAACGTGCGGCTCAAGCAGCACAGGTGGCCGCTGCGCGGGCAGAGCAAGAGAATCAGCAGTTGAAGGAGGAGCTTGCTGCTCGATTAGCGGAAGACAATGCAGCCAAAAGGGTTGCAGAGGGGATTGCACCAGGAGCAAGATACCAAAGGGGTGGGCTGCAAAGCTTGTTGAGATCAGCAGAGGTGGTTGCAGATGAAGCTGCGTCACCGTCGCGGTCGCGGCCAGAAAGTGATGGTGTTTTTTCTTTCCGAAGCCGATTGCATTCCAGGCGGGCAGTCGTTCCAGTGGCCAGCACGTCGGTCCTGCCCACACCAGAGGCACTTTGCACATGCTGCCACTGCGCCCGCGAATTAGCATGAGGAGCGCTTCCTCGTGCATGTGAATGTTTGGCACAGAAACTTGGACTCGGCAGAAGTGCGAAGTCTTCATGACAGTGTGACACTTTCTTCTTCATTGAATTGCGTGTGATCCCGAGTTGCCCTGCCAAATGGTATGGACTCCTGAATCTGATGCCGGCACCGTCCCATGTTCCCGGCTCGGCTCGTTGATGCCCAACACGATTGGAGCTTGGGTGTTCTGTGGTGATAGGACGTTGAGAAGAAACCAGGCATGGTTGAATGAGTTTGATAATTCTACGGAATTTCTGATCGGGAAAATGGGACTTTGCTACCAGCTCGTAGTCGTTGGCGCCGTCGCAGAAAAAGGGCGACGTCGCTGGCCATGGCTGCCATGGCTCCTCACCGTCCAAAAAGCGGGCGGTAGTGTCACAAAGTGACCTAAGGAGAGAGCGTCTCGTGTGGCAAGTTGGCCCATGTTGTCAAATCTGCATGGCGCGGAGGGACAAAAAGGTTTCTCATTGAGATGAAATCTGGCAGAGGAGATGTGGTTTGACAGTTGTTTACACGTTGTTTACAGACAACGGCCAGTAGGCATCACTAGGCATCAGTAGGCCAGTATGGGACAACAACACCTTCCAGTGACGGTCTGGTCAAGTCTCAGGTTTTAGCTGTACCGGTGGGCTGTTTGAGATGTAATGGATTAGTAGTTGGCCTGGCTTCTCCCAGAACCCGTCTCCCGTCCCAAGCCAAATTCGACGATCTTGCATTTTTAGCCTTTGGATGGATCATGGATGATGGATGTATATTTCGTTGGAGCTTTGCTGCACGCAGAGGCAGAACCGGCGACACGAAAACCAAGTAAACACGAATTGAAATCCTCCAAACCCACCCAGTCATCGACCAAGTCATATCAATTGGACTCGAGTCGAGGCACATGACGTGGGCGAAGTTCCTCGCCGGCGCTCACCGTCACGTGGCGAAGAGCCGAAGTCAAGGCTGGGCGCTGAGGACTGGAGACCAGTTTAGGGTTAGTTGTCAGATCATACCTCCTATACCAGGACCATCCTGTTTGGGCGTCCAATGGACTACTCTGCACTACTATCCGGGATCTCCAGACAGGACACCCAGACAGGATGGTCCAGGTAGAACCCTTTTGATTTGCCTCTTGATGTGGAAATGGCCTGACTGCTATAGGCATCCCTCCGTTCAAGAAAGACTTCAAATTATTGAGGCCACCGGTCTTTGCGGTTGGGAAGATGAGGGTTTGAGACTCTAGGTTTCTGTACCAAAAAAGACGATATAACGCATTCGACGGAGGTCGAGTGCTAAACCATGCTAAACCGGCGGATTATATGCATAATGAAACCAAACATAGCACACTAAAAACATCCCAAAGTGAAGCATCAAGTGTTTTCCTGATGAGTGAAGGCGCCTTTACCCATGATAGGCAGAAATATTTGCCCCTGGCAAACCTTGAACAGACGCGCTTGCTGTGATCATTGCCTGTCTACGACCATCCATGTTGCCTCCGGAGGGCACTCCAAGTTGGCGAAGCTGATTTAACATGAGCATGATCATCTTCACTGTACCTCTGGGGACTCCTAGAACGGATCATTCTTTCGTCCGTGGTCCTTGACGTTGAATGTAGAAAATCATGTAACAAGGAGATGACTTGACAATCTTGTCCAGTCCTTGGCAGTGGACAAACAAGCGGCCGCCCGTCAGTGGACTAATTACTACCGACCCGCACCGACGAAGGCCCCCAACACGGCAAGACCTGCCGTCACTCGACTCTCTCTCCGTCGTTCTGCTCCGACGATGTGGTGCGTCACATCCCCAGCTCCATGTGGTTCCGCCCCTGCGACCAACCCTGGTAAGGTAGACTCTTGATTAGTTACCGTTACCCATATGAAGAGGACGTTCCACAATGGTGTGCTTTTTCAATGGGGTGCATTTCATTCGTTTCCGGACATCGTCAGACCCCTGTCCGGTCGTCCGCGGACAGCGGAGTGCGAGGTTGGCGGTGTCCAGATCGCACGGTGGCCCGAGGTACGGGCCATGAAGTGGAAGAGGAAGATCGCACAGAGAGGAAAGAGGAGCAACCCATTTCGCCTTATTTCTGATGAGTATCCTTGGAGACCACACTTGTCTATTGTTTCCCCCTTCGCATTCTTGGGCTACAGGCTACAGAGGTGTTTTTTGCGGCAAACGGAAGATGTACAGAACCAGGATCCAACGCGGATCCCACCTCCACCGCTCCCAACGAAAAGAAGTACCCAGATTCTTCGATCCCTCCAACGGGGCCCGCAGCATATGCAGCATCTTGTCTCCTGACTGGGCTCGGGGCCACGCAAAATGAGAGATTTTCACACCACATGGACAACACAGGCAGAGAAGCACTCAACTGCCAAACTTATCACTCAAGAGAAACAGCTATCTTCACCTTCACCCAGGCTCAGGAAATAAATGCCTCGGCTTCATCATCTCAGACATGTTTTTCTGACACGAGGACTTGGAGAACCTTGCACCTGAGTTGAGCCATGTCAGCCATGGCCCCTGACCGAGAGCCGGTGCAAGATGCACCGCTCATCCTTGAGCTGCTGGGATGGAGAAATCAAGGGATGATTGAATTTGTCTGAAGGAATCCAAAGTTCTGATACACCATCTCTTAAGATATTTCAATCAATCTGATATCTTTAAGTCTCAAGTCCCGAAATAGAATTCTCTCAATGAAATCTCAAGTCTGACTGTTGAAAGAAGACTTCTTGCAGATGTTTGCAGATGGGGAATGTCATGTCCTATAGTTGAATATCATTTTCCATCAGCTGAATTGGAAGAGTGTCAACCATATTCTTCCTGGACTCTCGAGTGAATGCCCCACCCAAAGTTTCATTGATCCACCAAACTACTGTCATGTTTAGAGTCTACTTCACTACTCCAGCTGTGATCAGGTTCTTGGTCCCGGACAGGTCTTCCGCACATCACGATCATCACGCTGCCCCGTGGCATTGGCGCTGGCACGAGCCGTTTCTGGGCAAGACCCGGAAGGAACTGCAAAGGGCTCAGGAGGAGACGTGCCGCCTGAAAAGGGAAGTGGAGAACCTTCGAAAAGGCCACTTGGTCCTGCGTTCTGTCGTTTGTCGATGTCAGATCCTGGCATTCTGCTGATATTCTATAGCTTCAGTAGTTATATAGTTAGTTATATAGTTATATTAAGATTGAATTATAGTATTTGATGCGACCCCATGACCCAAAAGCTTCAAGTTGATCATTTGCATGTTGCTTCGATTTCGTTAGGGATGGCCCGGCTTCAAGACCAGCTTGAGAGAGAGCAAGCAGCCCTGAGAGCTGCCCAAATTATCAAAGACGTGACCGAAGCACAGGCCTGGCCCAGGATTCAAGACCTCAAAAGTATGCTCACAGCTGCTGAACGTGCCGCTGGCGCTGCGCAGTATGCTGCTGCATGTGCGAAGCAGGAAAACCAGTGCCTTAGAGCAGAGTTCACTGCTCGGTTGGAAGAAGCCAATGCAGCAAGAGGAGCGGAGCAAGCAAAGTTGCAAAGGCTGGCAGCAGAGCTGGAAGAGTTGCTCAGCACAGAAGACAAATCCAAGCGTGGAGCGCCTCCGGACCATGGACAAATAGCCCTTCGAACGTCAACCATCGAGACTGCCGCTATGCCCGATGCAGCCAAAAGGGTCGAGGACGCGAATGCGCAAGAGGCCAACCAACAAGTGAGCACCGCAAGAAACCTCCCAAGATGAACTAAGTAAAGGCCTTGTCATATGGAACTTGGGCGTAAGCAAAAACCTGAAGAGCGTAAGGTTGCGTAAGGGAGTTGTGAGACATGCATGTTGCGTAAGCTTGCCATATGGTTGTGTTTTCATTAGTAGATTCTTAGCACACACTTGTCAAGAAAGGAACTGTATGGACCATGAGAGCTTTGAAACCCTTGGGAACTGACATTTGTGCGCACTGTGTTTCAGGTTCGCGTAAGCTCCGCGTAAGGTTCGCGTAAGCCAACTTTTCATTTGCCTACAGCAGCCAGTAAGTAGATGCTAGTGATCCTTTGCTTCCTCTGCTTCGGAGTCTTAGTGATCATGTGTTTGTCGCCCGCTCACCTGCAAACAGGAGCCTTCGCGTAAGCATTTCCCTTTGGAGTATGGTTCTCATCTGTGAAAATGCAGATGCGCAAGATCTGCGTAAGGTCTTCTTCAACATCCGTGGCGCGTAAGCTCACATTGTGGTCGCGTAAGAAAGGCGTAAGCAGGAGCGTAAGAACGTTATGCGACATAGGGGTTTAATCATACGTATTTTGCAGAGCTCAAGTGGCAAGGCTGACCAACATGCTTCTCGCAGCAGAGCGTGCTGCTGATACGGCGCAGTATGCTGCTGTATGTGCGAAGGAGGAAAACCAGTGTCTTAGAGCAGAGTTTACTGCTCGGTTGAAAGAAGCCAATGCAGCAAGAATGTTTGAAGAATCGAATGCACAAAACGCCAATCGACGAGCAGAAGAGCTTTCTCTTATGCTCCTTGCTGAACAGGCGGGAAAGAATGCTACGGCAAGCGCAGAGCAAGAAAAAACAGTACTAAAAGAAGAACTTTCTCATCTCCAAGAAGCAAGAACCAACGCAGTGAGAGAAGTTGAGGAAATGAATATGAATGTACAAGATGCAAATCGAAGAGTGGAAGAGCTGACTGACAGGCTCGCTGAAGCAGAACGGGCTGCTGGTGCAGCACAAAATGCTGTGGCAAGTGCAGAGCAAGAAAACAAATGTCTAAGAGAAAAGCTTGCTGCCCGTATCGAAGAAGCAAACGCTGGGAGAAAGGTTGAGAGAAGAAATGCACAAGAGGCACATCGACGAGTTCAAGAGCCCGCTCCCATGCTTTTTGTGGCAGAGCCTGCCGCTGGAGAAGCAGAGTTTGCTTCAAGTGTGCAGCAATACAACGAACGTCTCCAACCGGATTTTTCTCAAGTGCAAGAAGGCAATGCAGCCAAGAAGGTGGAAGAAGCAAGGGTGCAAAAAGTGGACAGAGAGCTGACAATTCTGGGCGCAGCACATGATACCATAGGAGCAGAATTTAAATTGGCCAGAACACCAGCAGAGGCAGACTGGTTGCCTCGTTGGTCCCAGTTCCTCCATTCCAGGCGTGTCGTTCCGGCCAAGGAAGTCATAAACACATCAGCCCTACCCACACCAGCACGCGGTAGGCATTGCACTTGCCAGCAGTGCCTCAGCGAAAGGCATGATCACATGCCAGGCATGCAAGTCTTGCAGGCTTTGCCCTCAGGGCCAGATAGCGCCGTAACAAGTGCGCACGAAGATGATTCTTAATTTAATTGATTCTTGATGGTTGTTTGGCTTGCAGCGGCCCAAGTTACCTTCCTTTTCGTGGTGGCCCCTGTGTGCAACGAATGTTGCCACGGCCACGAGAGAGTCTCAGTTTCTAGCATCATGAACTTGGCAAAGTACATGTTCATCAGACCCCACCGGTTTGGAGACAAAGGTTTTTTGCGAATTGCCGAGCGATGTCCACATCCCAGGTTTGGATTATTTTTTCACTGGCAGGACAGCATTGACATATTCTGTACATGCTTGCTAAAATCAGATTGGACACTCGCGCTAAGCATTGATACGCTGAACAAGCTCAATTATGTGTTGTTTGTTTTCCTTTTTTGCATTTTTTGCGCTTTAAACCTAGAGTGTCTAATGTTGTATATATATATATAATATATATTCTGACTTTGTCATGTGAGCAGGGCTTATGCCATATGGGCTTCAGCGCTTTAGTCACAAGGGAGACTCTATCGCTTCCGAGGTTGAGAAAGTCGTGCGGAACTGCGTTCGACGCGGCTAGGATGCTCTGGCACCGATGCTCAGGCACGGTGAGCAGTGCATAGCTCGAGATGAGAGACCCAAATGAACAAAGCCCGAGCACCTGTCATGATCCATTGCTGGGAATTGGCTTTCCAGGTGCAATTGGGCAAACATCGGGAACGTAGAATTGACTTCTCGGTCGGAGCCGAGATCCGATCATTTCAATTTCACGGTCACATCTCTGATCCGTTCGAGGCATCAAGGACCATATCAAGACCCGTTGACTGGTGTGGATCCGAAGTTGGTCACCTGTTCATGAAGGCGGCGCCAAGGGCTCGAGCCATTCTCATGAATGGGGGTAAGACTCTGGATTTGATTCCAGCTCTACATAGCTCTACGTTTCAACCGGTAATGAACTCCAGCTCCCCACTCATGATTGGTTTCAACCAGCTCAATCTGGAGAGGATGAATGACCAACTCCACGTCCGCAGCTCCGCGCCACCAGGATGCAGCTCCTTAGAGCTCCGCAGCGTCCGTTCGCCTGGAACAGGCGTCCTGCTGTCAGAATGATTTGGCTAGATTTGATTGCTGCTGTCATTGACTCTACATGATAATAAGAGTACACAGATTACCGCTGTTCACACACACATTCCTTTCTTTGAAGATTGTTTCACGGCTCAAGAATTCCAAATGAATCCAAATGATGCTTCATGGCATCGCTGCAAAGGATGTGCTTCCTCAATGGACTCGCTTCAGCGCTTGCCTTTTGGATTCTAGTTAATGATACTGGACCCGAGCGCTCGGGACATGTAGCTGCATGGGATGCTACAGGTCAGCGATTCCTGATTCACGGCGGAAGTAATGCCGCATTCAGGCCAGATCTGTGGGCGTACGATGCCGAAAAGGGCGCCTGGGACTTGCAGCCACCAACGTCTCCCGCCCCTTCGAAACGTGGAGACCATGTGGCTGTTTGGGATGCCAGCAGCCGGTCGTTGTGGATTCACGGTGGTTTTGATGGCTTGACGTTATTCAACGACCTCTGGAGATATTGGGACCAGAGCTGGAGCCACTTTGCCGGTGGACCTGGAGACATTCCGAGGGCTAGGAGCAGTCATGTGGCTGTGTGGGATGCGGCCGGTTCTGCCATGTGGCTTCATGGAGGGTTGGGTAGCGATCTTCAGGATGACCTTTGGAAGTTTTCGTACCGAAGCTCGTCCAGTTCTTGGGCTGAAATCCAGCCAATTGAGAACAGACCTTCAGCGAGAGCTCATCATGCAGCTGCGTGGGACGAAACAAATTCGGCCATTTGGGTTCATGGTGGATATGACAGTCATGGCTCTTTGCTTTGAACAACTGAAGCTTTGGATTTAGACGGTGTGGCAGTGTTATTGACCTATTATTCCATCATTGTCGAAAGATGTCAACGCAGGTTGATCATTGCTTTCAAAACGCATTTCATGTAGCAGAGTAATGGAGAGCCATTTAATTTAGGAATGTTTTGTGTTTTTAGTGTTTTTTTGTTTTTTCGTGGCTTCTGGCTTCTGGCTTCTGTGGCTTTTGGCTTTCGTGGCTTTTGGCTTTGGTGACTTGCGCGGCTTCTGTGGCTTTTGGCTTTCGTGGCTTCTGTGGCTGATGCTTTCTTGGCTTTAGTGGCTTCCGTGGCTTCTGGCTTTCGTGGCTTCTATGGCTTTTGTGGCTTTTGGCTTTCTTGGCTTCCGTGGCTTCTGTGGCTTTTGTAGCACCTTTGATAACAGCAATATTTTGTTCTTTATTTTGTTCTTTCTTTCTTTCTCTTTGGCAGCTGTTCTCCTTTCTCTATTTTCTTTTGCTTTTCTGTTCGCTGTGCAGAGAAGAAACCAAACAAGGAAGGAAGGAAGGAAGCAAGCAAGCAAGCAAGCACGAGCTGCTCACCTTTGGATCTGGTGTGCTGCTGGGGGGGGCGCTGCGGCCCCCCCAACCCCCCCACGCCACGAAATCTGCACTTCATCTCCGACACCCGCGCCTGCCTCGAAATCAATATTTTAAGGTGAACTCCCCGGTGCAAAAACTTTCTAACCAAGCAAATACGCCTCCAGTGCTAGGTCTCTTTCTCTTTGCTGTTTCTCTGCTAACTGCACCAAACTGTTGTGATAGGTAGAAATTTTCTCTGACACCTACACTATTACAATGTATTTTGCCAGCTACGACAGCTCCCAAATCTGTCTACCTATCCATCTATCCGTCTATCTATCTATCTATCTATCTATTTGTTTGTGTTTGTTTGTCTATCGATCTATCTATCTATCTCTCGATCTATCTATCTATCTATCTGTCTATCTATCTAGCTATCTAGCACCTGCCACGAAATCTGCACTTCAAGGTCCACAAAGTACTGCGCCTGCCACGAAGTCTGCACTCCAAGGCCCACAAAGTCTTGCACTTGCCACGAAATCTGCACTTCAACATCCACAAAGTCCTGTACCTGCCACGAAAACTGCACTTCAACATCCACAAAGTCCCGCACCTGCCACGAAATCTGCACTTCAAGGTCCACAAAGTAATGCGCCTGCCACGAAACACGAAAAACATCGAAAAAAACACATTTTTTTTTAAACTAAATCCGAGCCCCAGAGTAATATACCTGCGAGTAAGACCGACCATCAGGATTCAGTGACAGTGAGAGTAGCTGCACACAATGTCCAGCCCGTGTTTTACGAAAATAGAGACGTGCCAAGCAGACACTGTGAGAGTGTGCCATTTGTGTGGAGTACGCATGAGCTTTTTGAGTCCCTCAGGTTTGAGCAATGAGTTGTGGGCCTTTGACACCAAAGTCTCAAACTGGAGCTTCGTCTCACAAGCTGGTCCAGGACTGCGAGCATATCATGTTGCAGCCTGGGACCCCAGAAATCAAGCAATTTGGATTCATGGTGGCTTGGGTGGATCCACTGGGGTGGCCCAAGGGGAACTTTGGAGGTTCAATATCCTGAGCCACAGTTGCTTGCTTTGCGGATCACGTGATTTTTTAATTTTCCCTATGTTAAATCCCCTTCTGGGGAAGATGTCTGTATTTTTTCAAGGTTCCCCAGAAGGTTCAAGGTCGGGACTTGATCCTTAAGCAAATCCAAGGTTGGCACTTGATCGCGAACCCAGTTCAAGACGGGCCTGTCGCTCGTTATTACCATGCTGCAGCTTGGGATGTCACCAGTATGTCACTTTGGATTCACGGTGGCTTTTCGGGTTATTCCGCTGGAATTTGTTTGCACGATACATGGAGATTCCTGGTCACAACTACCTCTACAACCAGGACAACCTCCACCAGTAGCACTAGTTCCGCAACAACCTTGACCACAAGCTCTAGCTCAGCCACCACTACCAGCATCACTTCTACTAGCAGCACATCATCCAGCATTACGTATTCCACAACTACGGCCACGACTACCAGTAGCACTTTGACAAGTAGCATTTCGTCCAGCACAACCCT